TTCCAGAATTCCCATTTCTTCCCAGGAAACTAAGAACTCACGGCGCAGGCAGGTCAATGCTGTCAATGAAGATCTTGCTCAAATCACAGCCTGGGGAACCAACAACCTAGTTGAATTCAACGCCACCAAAACTCAAGCCTGCATTTTCTCTAGAAAGGCGGAACTCAGTATGCCCGATATTGTAATGTCTGGCTCCACCATCCCCACCAAGCCCACCATATCTTTGCTCGGTATTTCCATCAGCAACACTCTTTCATGGGATAATCATGTCAGATCCATCGCAAAAGCTGCTTCGCAAAAACTCGGATTCTTGTTTCGTGCGAAAAGCTACTTTACACCTCAACAGCTTCTATTGATCTACAAAGCGCAGATACGGCCTGTTCTAGAATACTGTTCCCACATATGGGGTTCAGCACCAAAACATACGCTGATGCTCTTAGATTCCATCCAGAGAAGAGCCATTCGCCTGGTGGGTGACGCCACACTCACTCACTCTTTGACATCATTGGAACACCGTAGAAAGGTCGGCGACCTTTCACTTTTCTATCGATACTTCCACGGGAAATGTTCTTCGGAAATCTATGCTATCATCCCTTCACTAGCAATACCATTCAGACGAACTAGACAAGCCCAGTCAGCACATCCTTTTGTTGTCAACCTCGAAAGATGTCGAACAGCACTTTATCAAGACTCCTTCATCCATAGAACGGCTAGGCTCTGGAATTCATTGCCTGTGGAAGTATCCCCAACAACATATAATCTCCAAAAGTTCAAAAAAAATTCCAATACCTACCTCCTGTCCCTATCCTCCCTAGGAACGAACGATGTTCTTTAAACATTATAGGGATTCCCTTTCGTGCGCTCCAAGCGATAAAAAAAAAATAAAATAAGTACACCATGCAATACACTCGTACTACAAAGTTAAATGATTATAGTACGTCATTGTAGTACTCCTGCTGCTTATAGTAGGCCCTCTGTAAAAGTATGTGTTTCACTTTTTTTCTAAACTTCTCTGGAGGTATATTTCTGTAAGATATTGGAGGATGGTTAAATTTTTTTTGCTCACGTACATGACAGAGTTTCTATTGAGACAAGATTTAGGTGTGGTTAAAGGAACACAACCTTTGTTTCTTGTCTAATATTTTCTGATGACCTCACTTATAGATAATATTGAAGTGGCATTCTTCTTGTGCATAAATCATACAGTATCCAGTATGAATGAACAAGATATAGTCGAAATCTTTTTATTAAAAGCTTTTATTTGACTTGCTATGTATAAATGTATGTATGTTAGTTCGGGTGGAATCTCTGAACTCAATTTTGAAGTAGATATCTTCAACCGATTGAGCTGAAATTTTGTATATACACGTTTAGTTTGGATGACAATGCACGATGAGGTGTGTAAAGTTATTCTAAATCCAATATGGCGGACCATCCAAGATGACGGAATAGTTTATTTTGATGCACTCCTACAATATGGGTATTAAATGGAAGGGCTCGTTGGGAGTAACTCGAAAAATAATGTGACGTCATTCTGATTTCAATATGGTGGACCATCCAGGATGGCGAAATAGTTGTTTTTAATGCACTTCTATACAATTATGGTATCAAATGCAATAGTTATTTTCAATTCACCTCTACAATATGGATACCACATTAAAATGCAACTTGAAATATAATGTGACCGCATTCTAAATCCAATATGGCAGACCAGTACTGTCGACTACGCCGTTATTTACTTAGGCTCGAAGCTCTTGCGATAACTAAAAATTCAAAATGGAAAAAAAAGATTCATGATGAGCTTTTCTTTAAACGTAAACGTTGAGAATTTTAAAAAAATCATTCGTATCAGTGATATGGGAAATATATCTCTATATGACTTCACTCGAATAAATTCATTTCGGATATCGAATCCTCATCAGTAACTTGATGAAGTCCAGTTATTCTTCATGATATACACAATTTTCATCTTCCTATAATATAACTAAAAATATAACGAACTGGCATCTGAGAATTTTCATTTGTTGACATACTCCTATCATCTGGGCATTCGTTTTTGGATGTATGATAAATTGATATTCATCATACAGGACGTGGAAAGAAATTCTTAATTGAGAAAACCTAATCTCATCATTTCTGTTACGTCCGGATAGCCCAAAGCTAGGAGCTATCACTAATATTTACTTTCGAATGTTTCGTGGACTAAAAATTGACAGTTCCGTATTGAATATCGAGAAAAATACAGAAACTGTCAATTTTTGTGAGCTGAACATTCGAAAATTAGAATCTGTGATAGCTCATAGTTCATGGGCTATCTAACGGTTAGAGAAAATGAATTCACTGCGTATCACTGAATATTTTAGGTCACATGGAAATGGCGAATGTTCAATTGACTGCATTTGTCACTTCTTTCAGAAAAATTCGATCAACCCAAATACCTATTGACATCTACAAAAATAACGTCACTTTCTGGAAAACCCAGAGCTTGACAATGATGAAGATCTTCAAGTCGAATTTCCATTTTTCCCTCCACCTTTTCTACAAATTTTAAAAATCATGCCTTTATCAGCTCTCCATAATATACAGGGTGTCCGCTAAAAGGAGGTCAATCCATTAACCACATATTCCTTGAACAAAAACAATATGAGTTTCTGAATATCATTTTTCATTTTAGCCCTTCATATTCGGTATACTGGGTGTCAAAGTTGGAAATTAAAAACAGTTTTTTTCTAATTACTCGCGTATTTGATAAGATAATAATCTCAAAATTGGTACATTACTTCAGCACAAAGAGTTACATCGTGTGAGAAAAACAAAACAGAAAATAACTGTCAAATATTCAAGATACTGGGGGTCAAGTTCACACTTACCCCCATATTTTGTTTGTACGTGCGCTAATGACTTCCTATCTATCTTCCTTCAAGTGTTCAATCATTTTTGAGTATTTTTTGTATCTTGTGAAATTTCGATTGAATCATTTGTTTTTAAGATAATTCGAAAAGTACTGGTTATTGTTTGATGCCTATGCGGCTTAGGTAATTTATTTCGTCGAAATTGAAAGAGGGCGTATCTTTTTACGTACGAAAAGGTAAATATGGAAATATCGGGTGCTCAGAGCAAATGTACTAAAATAATTTTTTCAAAAAAAAAAAATTGAAAAGGTTTAAAAATTATTTTAATACATTCGCTCTGAGCACCCGGTATTTCCATATTCACCTTTCCGTACGTAATAAGATACGCCCTCTTCCAATTTCGACGAAATAAATAGGAGTATGTGAAAATTATGAGATTACCGTAAGCCGCAACGCATCAAACAATAACCAGTACTTTTCGAATTATCTTAAAAACAAATAATTTTATCGGAATTTCACAAAAATCAAAAAATACTCAGAAATGATTGAACACATGAAGAAAAATAGATAGGAAGTCATTAGCGTACGTACAAAAAAAAATATGGGGGTAAGTGTGTACTTGACCCCCAGTATTCTGAATATTTGACAGTTATTTTCTGTTTTGTTTTCCTCACACGATGTAACTCTTTATGCTGAAGTAATGTACCAATTTTGAGATTAATATCTTATTGAATACGCGAGTAATTAGAAAAAAACAGTTTTTAATTTTCAACTTTGACACCCTGTATATCGAATAAGAAGGGCTAAAATGGAAAATGGTATCTAGAAACTCATATTATTTTTGTTCAAGGAATATATGGTTAATGGATTGACCTCCTTTTAGCGGACACCCTGTAGATCTAACTCATGTAGATCTAACCGTGATTTGAGAACGTGTATTTTACATGGACACAAAACTACTATTTAAGGAACTGGCAACGTCCTCACGGAGAAGTAACGTTTATTCGTTGGTTTATTCGAAACGTTCCTTGAATCTTGAAAGGAACGTTACAGAAATGTTTTATTGAAAGTATTTGATGACCGTTAGAAGAAAAGGAACGTGAAATATATGTTTTTTAACAACGTTAGGTAATCGTCGATAGACGAAGTGTATTCCTTCCGTTTACATCTCGCCGATTGTCAAACAAAGAGTTAAGGTACAAATACGTGTAGTCGAGAATATCAGAATAACAAGCTTCTAGCTAGACTAGAGAGTCTTTGAAACCACAAGGTTATCAGAAGTTTATTCATGATGGTTATGAGACTAACACGGTTCCTAATATGAGGAAGGAAAATATCTCTCTTGCATGAAAAAGTAAGGTACTTTCAACCAAACCTGTCCCAAATTAGCCTTTTTCCCTGAAAATTATATTTCCCAAAAATTTCTTCAGTGAGAGGAATGTAAAAAAAATTGACGCCTCGTAGTAATTGAATCCCAGTCACCACCGTCGAAGTAGTCGTAGTTTCTCAATATACAGAAGGAAGAAATATTATGTGTTGTGTGTGACGTCACTTGACCTCGATGTATCAAAGATTCGGTGGTCTAGCTAGACGCTTGTATTCGAGTATTGACTCGTAGAGATAGGCACCTGACTAAGAAGGTAGTTATACAGCTGAGGAATGAAAATACATGGACAACATATCAGGCTAGTAACTTATGGTGATAAATATAATTAATAATCATAAAAATATTGATAAGATAATTGTAGACACGAAAATAACAAGAAAATAATCTGGCTAATACGTTAAAGAAACGTTTGAAAGAACAAAAATTCGACGATTGAAAATTGATCTGAAGTGAACGTTGTAATATCCTATTTTATCAACAGTCACAAAACGTTGATATGTCACGTTTATTTCTCGTGGAAAATTTGGTTGAGAACTGGGCACTGTCCACCGTTTCCGAACAGTAAATAACGTTGAAATCAGTAGTTGAAACTACGTTTATGTACTGGTCAAAAACAACGTGAATGTCAGCGACATTTTTGCGTTGATTGAATGTGGGATGTGGGATGTATGAGATTTTTTGCTTAATGCAATTGTTCAATCTTACCAATTCCCATCAATACCTCCTTTGTTTTATTGGGGAAAACTGAATTTATATTACAGAAAACAACATTCCAATGGGTGCCAATGTCTGGAGGAACAAACTCTTCATAACGGTTCCTAGGCGACGACTAGGAGTGCCATCAACATTGAACTACGTTCGTCTGGATAGCAGCAACAGGTACAATGTTCCGTTGATCCCATATCCGAATTGGAATATAAATATTTACCCTGATACAAGTGGAGCTGGACAGAATTTCGTATCTGTCTACAGAGTAGCTGTCGATGCTTGTGATCGACTGTGGTTCATCGATACCGGACTTGTGGAAATACCAGGTAAGCAGATTCTTACAAGCATACAGTTTGTTCCTCTTACTATAGAACTGCATTTCCAATCAAAAAGCTTTATAGCAACGTCAATCTGATGGCAGCTACGCGACATCACAAAATAGTGATTTATCATTGGATGATCTCAGTTCATCTAGCACATAACTCACCAACTCCGATACAAACAATATCAAATTCAACAACGGCCCAACACTCCATTGATCAAAAACCAAACCGACCAAACGACCCAACTCATCAACGACCCAACTCATCAACTTCCACCTCGTCAACGACACAACCCACTCAACTCACCAACGAACTCACTAACTCCTTCACGACCAGATTTATCAGCGTATTCAATTAATCATCACCAAACTCACCAACGACTCAACTGACTAACGGTCCACCTCATCAATGCATTAATTGAATCAACATCCAACTAAACAAGGATCGAATACATCAACGTATCCATTTCATCTACGTCCAACTCGTCCACGGCCCAACTGATCAACGAATTGAAAAAATCAATTCTGATGCCCCCTTACGCCAATGATGAGTTGGGTCGCTGATGAGTTGACCGTTGATGAGCTGTGTCATGCATGAGTGGGGTCGTTGATAATAGGATCGTTGATCAGTTGGGTCATTGATCAGTCAAGTGTTGATTAAATAGATACATGTCGATGATCTGAGTAGGCTGATAACTCGTGACGCTGACGTTGATGAGAGTAGACGGAATGAGGGTGTTGATGAGATGGGTCATAGTTGTGTTGGGTCGTTGCTGAGTTGTGTGTTGATGAAGTGAGTGCTTTGATGATTTGAGTAGTTGATGAGTTGGACTTAGGCCATGAACATGTTGGAGCAGCGACAATAGTGATTGAAACGACGATTAGACCTACCAAATCATTCTACCTTGGTGTATTCTTGATGAAGCTTCAATACTAGTATGGTTCGAGTTGTTTACTGCAATAACAGGAATAATCTTGACTCGACTTTTGTTTCAATTTGTTGATATATCCAATTTTTATAAGACGTGAATACCTGTTTATGGACAAGTGCTTTCCATTCCATTACTTCACTATAGTATCACAGCTCCTATCATCTATCACTGCAAAGGTACTCTATGAGGGGTGAGATATGATCAAAGATTATAATTGAATTTCTGCTCACTCCAACGCATTTTGAAATATACATGAAAATGAGTTAATTGAGACAAGAATGCGGAATAGCAATATAAAATTCGATGTTCACTTCAATCTGAGCGTTCAATTTCATTTTTCGATTGCACAACAATTTCAAACCCAATAAACACAAAAAAATTCTCTCCAAGTCTGTTTCTTACCACTAGGTAAATGTTTTCTGTGGGTCAGTTAGGCATGTTTATAGAAGACTACCTATACCTCTTCAAGCATCATATGTCTCATATGTATTTTTTTTTGACCTTGAGTATTAGCTACTGAACTATAACAAATCCATGGAAGAAATTATTATCTATAGTATCATTGATGAACTTTCGCAGAGAAATATTTCTGATGATATCTATAAATGATGAATGTCACCTATACATATAATTCAAATTTAGTGAAAAACATCCAATAATAATTATGAACAAAAATGGCTAGACAATATTAATATTGAAGAAGAATATTCTCAGATATATCATGAACACGAGAAAATGAATATGAAAAACTTATAATATTGATTGACCAGAGTTCAGAAAAAACTGAATATGACTAGGTATACCTAGTCATATCATAGTACAATAACAACACAATGTACAGGGTGGCCAACTAAGGATCCAGAGTTCGATACCTCTGTTGTCTTGATAGATACAAAAAAAAAGTTTCGCATTCAAATTGAAGTGATAACCGAGCTTCACATTTCAAAATTTCTTTGAAATACACAGGGTGTTCCGTAAGGTCACAGCACATCAAAGCTATGTTTTTCTCATTGGAACACCCTATATTTTATTTCATTTTTGAATGCTCCCTGAAGATCTGATCTCAACGACCCATCATACTTAGGGTCTAGCAGTGAAAGTTACTGACATATAGGGTGTGCAAAATCGAGATTTTCCATGTTCAGAATTTTTTTCTGTCGAAACTGTTCATTATTCGTCAAAACGGTTCACATGTCCCTATATCAACTTTTCACTCACTATCAATTGGTGTTCAATTGACATTTAATTGAAACAAATTTTAAATTGAGATTTTCTGACCACCTTGTATCAATTTCAATTGAACACCAATTGATAGTGAGTGAAAAGTTGAGATAAGGACATGTAAACCGTTTTGACGAATAATGAACAGTTTCGACAGAAAAAAATTCTGAACTTGGAAAATCTTGATTTTGCACACCCTATATGTGAGTAACTTTCACTGCTAGACCATAAGTATAATGGGTCGTTGAAATCAGATCTTCAGGGAGAATTCAAAAATGAAATAAAATATAGGGTGTTCCAATGAAAAAACATAGCTTTGATGTGCTGTGACCTTACGGAACACCCTGTGTATTTCAAAGGAATTTTGAAATGTGAAGCTCGATTATCACATCAATTTTGATACATGACTTTTTTTTGAATCTCTCAAGACAACAGAGAAATCGAACTCTGGAGTCTTAGTTGGCCACCCTGTACATTATACAGTACATCAATCTTGGATTATCAATAATTCACATGGAATTATTTCGAAACATGTTTTTGTTGAACGCAACAAATGTTGAATAAGAATATCATTTGTAAATCCATCTTTAACAGTTTGGAATATAGATTGATATCCAATTTTTCTTTAAAAACGGAACATATTGAAATGATATTAACAGCAATGGAAATTACTCATAACACTCATCAGGGAAAGTTATATGTTCCGGAACTTCAATCATCTTCAGAGAGTGTCACAAAGCTATCTGATAGTTTCATATTAATATTCTCTGTCATCTCCCTGATTAGAATGTGAAAAGAAGCAAAGTTAATGCATTTTAGAAAATTGTCTATAAACACCAATTATTTCAGGAAATGCAACCCAAGTGAGGCCTACAACCTTGGTGATCATTGATCTCAATACAGATCAAGTTATCCATTCCTATGTGATTCCTGCCGACCAACTAAGAACTGCCACCCAGCTCGCAAGCTTGACCATTGATATCGACAAAACTGCATGTGGTGATGCATACGCGTATATTCCGGATTTGGGTATGTTGAATGAACCACAGTATACATCCTCACGAAAAACAGTAATTTTTCTTAGTGTCTGAACGTTTGAAGTTGGTGTCCACAAGTTTTATTTTTTGCCAGGCCAGTACGCATATCACCACGCACAGACTTGCGAGTTTTGGGCTTGACAAGCCAATGACTACTCGCTTGTCATCACTGAGGAATGTTGTGAAGTCCCTGAATATTATTTATTTATTTACCACTCGTAAAAACATTGAAATTCAGATTTAAACATCAGGGTTCATACAACACTGTGTTCATACTATGCTTATGAATTATAAATGTTAATGGATAACAAACAGATCAAAGATGTGAGTGGATACACGTTTTCTTACCTTGAATCATCTTTTGGAAATTTGGAGAAACTCAAAAAGCAATCTGTTCTACTATTTTCGCTACGAACAGTAGGCAGCCAATATCTTCCAATGATAAACAGCTCGATAACAGTAATATCAATTGCACTCAAACTGAAATGGATCACCAGAAGCTGTGACCTCACTCCTCACATATGGAGTTTGTGAAGCACAATAAATATACCAGCAATCAGAAATAAGTGGTTCACAAAACATTACGGGACACAATTAATAAATCGTGATACTTGATAACACAGGATGAATCACCAAGGCATATAAATCAAAGTAGTCAAGAGAATGTTAACAAAACACATGTCCTGCTAGCTGAGCAGTAACTGCGCACACTGTTTCTCGTAAGGGTGTATATTGTGAAAAAACTGAGGTAAGCTCAAGTTGGCTATATATGTAAGGGATAAGGGCAGCCTCTCAACTGCAACCACCAATCAGGATTTATCTGGTTACCCTGAGATATGGATTTCTCTTCTGATATCCGCATTTCAATTACCAAATATTGGCAAGGTTGATGAATATACCTTGAATATCTGCGAATATACCAGATTGCTTGATATCAGCAGAGGGTGATTTGCTTAGACCTGGCCAAAATAATTTCGATAGTTACTTGCATATTTATAGCAATTGAGGAGCCCTTTTCTCCTTGTAGCTAAAATCACAATCCAAAGAAATTAAACTCGAGTTAAAAATCAGTTTTTGAATGACAGAGGAAACATTCATCGAATCAATAGGACTACATCCCATTCGCCAGTTACTTCAAATGTTTAATATTCATCACTATTCGATTGATTTTATCTTTCCTGTTTGAATAAATTGGCATTCACAGGGAGAAAAGGCGATTGCATATCTATGCACAACATTGTGTAAAAGATGTTTGTGAAGTATTATTTAACATTTGTTCAAATAATCACTACAGTCATTTCGTGAAATGAAACAAATGTTTGTGTATATCAATTTGTGAAATATTTGTACATATCCATGGAGCTGAAAACTATACAAAAATATGCACATCATCCAATGCACACAATTGTATTGACTAAATACACCGCTTTTGAAATAATTACACTATTTGTGCACGCGGTCCTCAATTTGTACAAATTATCCAAATAGCGGAAAATTACACAAAAATGTACACATCATCCAATGTACAAAATTGTATATTGACTAACTATACACCTCCTTTGAAATAATGTTACTATTTGTGTAAAATTTTGCCACAGGTGTGCAATTTTTTTCCACTTGGTAACGGCGTCCTATCCCCTTCTCCTTCTACCTACTTATATCTCAATCTCAATATTCTGAATTCGCACTTGACCTGTAGATGTGTTACAAGAAGGTTACAAGTGTGTATGGTGCAGAATGGAGAATCTTCTCATTTATTATTGTCTGGCGAGTTGGTGAATGATTGATATGATTGTAGGTACTTAATGACCATGCCCAAGTAGCACACATATATTGGTACAATATCGGTGCAATATTACGAAAATATCGGCAAAATATTGTGAAAGTAATATTGGCGAGAAAAAAAATGTGAACATTCGGCGATATTGGTACAATATCAGTTTCCAAATATGGGTAAAATATTCTCATATTAATATTGGTTGAATATTCGTAGAATTATATCGGACGCAAAATGTAATATCAATATTGGCGAGATATTAATGGTGAACATTCGACAATATTGGTGTAATATATGGAAATATCGGTGAATCATTGAAAATCATCATGAAGGTATGTTGTCTCAGGAATATTGGTTGAATATTCTCATACCAATATTGCTGGAAAATTCGTGAAGTTATATTGGTCACAAAATGTGATAACAATATTGCTGATAAATGGACATTGAACATTTGACAATACTGGTGCAATATTGGTTGGAAATATTGGTACATTATTGAAAATCAATATGTAGCTATGTTGTCTTCAAAATATTGGTGGAATATTTTCATACCAATATTTGCGAGTTATTCGCATCAGGAATAATCACAAAGGTCAGCCCAGCCAGAGTGCTATGGGAGGACCTTGCCCTGGGGAAGCCGCCTTGTTGATCACGGTTAACCCCTACTCCTGGTTATAATACTTTACAATCGTCTAGAGCCAATATTTATATTCTCTCGTCTGATCGGCAATGGGAGTACGATACCAATCATTTATAGCGCCATCTATCGACATCGGTTTGGGAGTGCGTAATATGGAATAAATATCGAAATTTCGATATCGATATGTATTCTCAAAACAATATGTGAACAATATTGCTCACATGATATAGTGAATCACATATCAGCCAATATAAAATGATATTATTTTCTGAATATGGCTAGAAAACTATTCATCCGATATGCAATTGAACTTGAAAATACAATATTGTTTTTCTCTTCTATGTCCGATATAAGATATATATTGAATTGCCGTTATTGATATTCATATTTGAATCATTGAAAACCCCTTCAGAATAGGTTATGATTGTTGGAAACAATATGTATACGATATTTTCCGCATGATATCAATCAATATAGGTAAATTCGATGTTCCAAATATTGTTGAAGCAATATTCATCCAATTTGCCGTCGAATCCGATTACACAATATTGTATATCCGCTTCAGAATCGACATGGGGAGAATGTTTGAATTGCGATATTGGTTATGGTTGTTGGAAACAATATGTGTGCGATATCTTCCGCATGATATAGTTGGAATGATATCAGTCAATATAGGTAAATTCTATGTTCCAAATATTGTTGAAACAATATTCTACCAATATGCCGTCGAACTCGAACATACAATATTTCATAACCGCTTCAGAATTGACATAGGGAGAATGTTTAAACTGCTATATTGGTTATAATTGTTGGAAACAATATGTATACGATATCTTCCGCATGATATGGATAGAATGATATTAATCAAGATAGGTGAATATGATATTTCGAATATTGTTGAAACAATATTCAACCAATATGCCGTCGAACTCAAATATACAATATTGCACAACCGCTTCAGAATCAACATGGGGACAATATTCAAATCGCGATATTGGTTATAAATGTAAGAAGCAAATTGTATACGATATCTTCCGCATGATATAGATGAAATGATATCAATCAAGATGGGTGAATATAATGTTCCAAATATTGTTAAAACAATATCCAACCGATATGCCGTTTAACTTGAATATACAATATTGCATAACCGCTTCAGAATCGACATGGGAAGAATGTTCAAATTGCAATATTGGTGGTAAATGTCGGGAACAATATGTATACGATGTTGTTGTATCGACATTCGTAAAACAATATTATATAACATTCATAGATATGTTTTTCAACACATTGTTAACGAATTTTACAACCAATATTGCTCCAATATTGTAGCTGACAATCCATATTCAGCTCAGGTTGAACCAATATTCCACCAATATTATCATTACAATATTGTTTGTCCAATATACTCTCATATTGGACCTATATTATTTTTCACATGTACGATATATCTATATCGGCCCAATATGAAATCGGGTTCCAGCCAATATGATGTGCTACCTGGGTGGGTATAGTCCTTCCGCAAAATTATTTCATGTTAGTGCCACAAGGTGAAAGATGTAATAAGATGTATCAACAAAGTGTCGAAAACATTTTTCTTTGTTGGGAACTGCTTTAACTCTGGTATCTACATTCGCCGGTGAGTTATTACTTCGATAATACCTAATAATAATTAGCTTCGACTTGCTTTCAATTTCAACACCCATTGAAAGCAAGTCGAAGCTAATAGCTAATCATAAGGTTCAATTGGAATAACTTACCGGCGAATGTTGATACTAGTTCAGGTAGTTCCCAACAAAGAATCTACACTCTGTTGATACATATTATTACTTCTTTTACTTTTTGCCACTAGTAAACATGAAATAATTTCGCGGAAGGACTACCTATGATCAGTGAGTACAATCATCAATCATTTACCAACTCGCCAGACATTAATAAATGAGAAGATTCTACAGTCTACGGAAGTACACATACTTTTGTATCGTTACCAAATTTGTATACAAGAAATACACAAATTTGTGTTATTTTCAGTACAATGAATTGTGAACATTTCAACAATTTTGTAATGCTAAGCTCACCCACTTACACAGTTTGTGCACACATATCACACAAATTGGTGATATTTGACGAACAAAATATTGGATGATTATATATATTTGATGTCACGAAAGTACACAAATTTTGTTTGGCTTTTTAACAAAATTGTTTTGAAAATTACAAAATCAAATTGTTTGGTTATACACAAAATCTCTCACACAAAATATTGCGCGAAATATACACAATGTGGTGCTGTCGCCATTTTAGAAACAAACTGTGTAAAAAATCTATACACAAATGTGTAAAAAACTTACACTAATTTCTCTCTGTGTTCAGTAGGCCCAAATGCAAAAAAAACACGTCGTCATGGCAACCACGAAACTTAATAGAAAACAACATCTTGTCACCTGGTATAACATGGGGATGACAGTTCCATATACGTCGTGGAATTGTGTATCTTTGGTAGTACAATAGTACCAGTCTGAGAATTTCGAATAAATAGACAAGTACGTCATGGCAGATGACATTATTGAACATG